TCGTCGCGGCTCCGCTGAAAAGACCATTCGCCTCGCTTAGGCCTACCAGGGCCTACCAAGAGAGCAACCGCAGCTGGCTACACCACAGACGACGCTGACATCATGTCCCCGAAGAGACTTGTTACACTGATTAACGATTTCCAAACCAGCAAATGAGATGGCATGGCGCTTGTATTGCTATTATCAGCTATATTATCATTACTATTATTGTTATCATTATTACTATTATCATTATCATTTTTCGTTACTACCTTTTTCATTATTTTTTCTGTACAACCATTATCATCATTTTTTTCATTATCATTATCATTATTTTCGTTATTGTTACTATGATTATCCTTGCTATTATTTTTTTCACTCTTATTATTTTCACTATAAATATCATTCTTTTATTATCATTTTTTTATCATCATCATTATTATCATCTTTATGGTTCTTGTTGTTATTACTATTGTCATTATCATTGATATTATTAGTAGCAATATTATCATGATTATCATTATTGTTGTTAATGTTTATATAATCATCATTACCATTATCACTAATGTCACATAATGTTAAATTTTAAGTATCTAAAAAATGAAGTTCTATGTAACAAGGGCATGAAAAGATGTTTAACCCATTAGGCCATTACTGTGTTGATAAGAATTAGTATTATTTTTTTTCAAGGTAAAAAAATCAGACATTCCTGACCATGTAGATTGGCCTCCTACAAGGTGAAGGTGGAAGGTGGAAAAAAGGCGAGGAAAGAGGAGAGAGAGAGAAAGAGGAGGGAAGAAAGAGGAGAGGGAGAGAGAGAGGAAAGAGGAGACGGAGAGATAGAGAGAGGAAAGAGGAGATTCCACCTTCTCTTACAAAGAAGGTGGAATACAGGGATATATATGAAAAAAGATAAATAAAACTGAAAAGAGCAAGATTTGCAGACAACACTGAGCATCTGAGTGGGTCTGCAGGCTTGGAGAATGAAAAGCCAAATCTTGCCATTCTACTCTCTCAGCCAAAGACCAACAGGTATTTATGAATCTCCGTCTCGGTCTTCTCATGGATTCAGCTGAAAGGTCTGGCATTCCAGGTGCTGCGGTTTTCAAAAATATCGTCTTTGGCTGAAAGTCCTGTCATTCTACTTGCAAGATCTCGTCATTTGTCCAGAAAGAGGAGTGAGTCTGTTTGCATGATTTAGAAGATTTAGAGATTGTATATGCGTTACTGATTGCAGTGAAATCTTTACTGAACGACCACAGGATCTGACAGCCCGTACGCAAGCATGGTCAAGTTATAAGAATAACAATACCTGTAAATATTGGATAGGAATCAAGCCTGCTGCTGCAGCTTTGTTCCTCTCTCGTGGTTGGGAGGCAGAGGCTGCGACAAACAAACAGTGGACTCTGGACTTTTTAAAGAATATTACTATGGGTGACTGTATTATGGCCGACCGAGGATATCTTAGTGAAGATGAGCTTCATGGAAGAGGTGCAGTCTCGAAAATCCCACGTTTCACGAGAGGGACGAACCAGTGACCAGCGAAAGAGGTTGATGAGTCAAGCCAATTGGCCGATGTTAGAACTGACGTCGAAAAGGTTATTGGCCGTTCGAAGGACTCTCGACTCTTGCAAACAGTCATCCCAGTTACACAAGTTGAGTTGTTGGATAATGTTATGACCGCGATATGTGGAGCAACTAACCTGCTGTCAGTCAGTAAGACTATACTATATTCTTTGCAGTATCTTTTCATTATTTTTTCATTAATTCAGTTGTAAATACGAAAGCTAATAGTTTCTGTACATAACCATAATATTAAAATCTTTCATTTAAAAAAAGTGATAAACTATAAAAAAAAAAAGGATCCACCAATCCGGTTATCTTATATCATAACAAAATTTATCTTCATATAAAAGTAAGAAATAATAATCCTCCCCAACCCTGCGTGGCCCTCCTCCTCCTCCCCCCCTGCGTCGCCCTCCTCCTCCTCCTCCCCAACCCTGCGTCGCCCTCCTCCCTCCTCCTCCTGCGTCGCCCTCCTCCTCCCTCCCCAACCCTGCGTCGCCCTCCTCTTCCTCCTCCTCCCCAACCCCTGCGTCGCCCTCCTCTTCCTCTCCTCCCCAACCCTGCGTCGCCCTCCTCCTCCTCCTCCCCAACCCTGCGTCGCCCTCCTCTTCCTCCTCCTCCTGCGTCGCCCTCCTCCTCCTCCTCCCCAACCCCTGCGTCGCCCTCCTCTTCCTCCTCCTCCCCAACCCCTGCGTCGCCCTCCTCCTCCTCCTCCTCCTCCCCAACCCCTGCGTCGCCCTCCCTCCTCCTCCTCCCCAACCCTGCGTCGCCTCCTCTTCCTCCTCCTCCCCAACCCCTGCGTCGCCCTCCTCCTCCTCCTCCCCAACCCTGCGTCGCCCTCCTCTCCTCCCTCCCCAACCCCTGCGTCGCCCTCCTCTTCCTCCTCCTCCCCAACCCCTGCGTCGCCCTCCTCCTCCTCCTCCCCCAACCCCTGCGTCTTCCTCTTCCTCCTCCTCCCCAACCCCTGCGTCGCCCTCCTCTTCCTCCTCCTCCCCAACCCCTGCGTCGCCCTCCTCCTCCTCTCCTCCCCAGCGTCGCCCTCCTCTTCTCCTCCTCCCTGCGTCGCCCTCCTCCTCCCTCCTCCCCAACCCCTGCGTCGCCCTCCTCTTCCTCCTCCTCCCCAACCCCTGCGTCGCCCTCCTCCTCTCCCAACCCCTGCGTCGCCCTCCTCCTCCTCCCCAACCCTGCGTCGCCCTCCTCCTCCTCCCCAACCCCTGCGTCGCCCTCCTCTTCCTCCTCCTCCCCAACCCCTGCGTCGCCCTCCTCTTCCTCCTCCTCCCCAACCCCTGCGTCGCCCTCCTCCTCCTCCCCAAACCCCTGCGTCGCCCTCCTCTTCCTCCTCCAACCCTGCGTCGCCCTCCTCTTCCTCCTCCTCCCCAACCCCTGCGTCGCCCTCCTCTTCCTCCTCCTCCCCAACCCCTGCGTCGCCAATGCGTCGCCAGCTCGCTGAGTAGGGCTGAAGGGCGTGACCCGCCTCGGCAATGACACGGTTTTCTTCCTTTTCTTCTTAATTCTGTGCATATTGTTTCCTCTCTGAACTCCACAGTGTTCCGACTGACGCGTCCGAAGATGTTGGGGTCTGGAAAATGACGTCCTTTTGAGCAGGAATTATGAAATGAGATCACCGTCAATTTTGGAATAGCACTTATTTTACGGCTTCTAACGGGACGTCGGTTAGGGATCACTGCTTCACACACACACATACACACACACACACACACACACACACACACACACACACACACATAAAAAGAAACAGACACGAGCATAACATTCAAACACAAATAAACGCTAACAAACATAGACAAAGAAACATCACGTCCAGACAGAGACAAAGAAACAGACAAAAACACACACAAACAAATTCAAACATACACAAATACTAGCGTATACTAATAAACATGAGATAAGAGCCTTTATCTTTTTATCAGTCGCCTCCTCGGGTAGACAGCAGCAGGACACATTACAACACTCACCTTTACTTCGAAGGAAAACTCCATTTATGACTATGTGTATTCCTTCGAACACCAATATCCTTTTTGCACAATTTTCAAGAAAAGTCTGCAAAGGAGATGAGTGAGCGGCTGGACTTGGTCACGTGACAAACAGGACTCTCGTCCTCCCCAACCCCTGCGTAAATGAGGGTGAATGAGTGGATGAGAGACATATAGAGAGAAAATGAGGGAGAGACAGACATAAACAGAGAGACAGGAGTAAGATCGAGTAAGAGAGAGAGAAAAACTGAGTAAATAAAGGAAAGAGAAACAGTTGCTGAATGAGTGAAAGGCACAGAGAGTAATCATCTGAGTGAATGCGAGATAGTAGCTTAGGGAGTAAGGGACGGTGAGAAAGAGCAACTGAGACATGAAGAAAATTGATTTAGAGAGTGTAACTGAGAGAGAAAGAAAAGTTATTTGAGTGAGTGAGCCAGAGAGAGCAAGTGAATGAATGAGAGAGAGAAATAGAGAATAAGTTTATGAGTCACATGCCGTAGACAGTGATTAACTGCGTGCGAAAGAAATAGTAACTGAGTGAGAAACAGGCAAAGATGAGTGAGGGAGAGACCGAGAGAGGTAGAGTAACTGATTGCGTGAGAGACTGAGGGAGAGACGGAGAGAGATAGAGTGAGTGAGAGTAACTGAGTGAGTGTAAGTAATAGATCTAGAGAGAGAGAGACATCATACGTGAGAGAGGCAGAGAGAGAAAATAAATGAGAGTGAGAGTACCTGAGCGCATCTCGGAGTAAACTCAGTCATCGCCGTGTCTCCAGTGAACGCAGGCACAGTTCGAGCGGGATTGCCAGGCGGGATAGCTTCCAAGGGCAAACGGGTGCGCCCCTTGCTAAGGGGGCACTCAGGTGCTCCGCCGGTCTCCTGTGTCCCTAGGAAATAGCTGGCTCGCTTACGACAAGAAATAAAAGACACATGGCTGTCCAAAACGGAAAAGAGTCAACTAAAGATGATAATAATGATGATAGAGAGACCTCCAGCTTTCGTTAATGACGTAGGAGGAAACACGGCCAGGACGGGCAAGCAGGAGGCTTTGCTCATAACGGGGCAGGCAAATGCGTGCATAGCGTTGCATAGCTTTGTAAAGGGTTTGTGTGTGTCGTAAGGGCGTGAGCGAGGCTAGCTACCCCGTTTGCGTTATCTGCGGAGCGAAGGTCGGCGATAAGAGGAGGCAGCAGGGCGGCGCCGGCCGCAGCGAGCTCACTCGCAACCCGCAGCGCCAACTGCCGAAGGGACACCGCCAACGCTCCAACAGCAACACCGCAACCGACGCCCCGACCGCTACGATGGCTTCCCTTTACAGCAACGACCGCCTCGTAAGTAGCCCTTGGCGCAGCGTGCTCAGGACTGTAACCACTCTCTGGTGGCTGCGAGTTGAACAGCGACGCGGGGAAGGCATTTCTTCCGATGACCTTCGGGATCGTCTCGTCCAGAAGAGCCAGTGTCTGTGCCACTGTGGCCTCACCGGGTACTTTGGGAACTCTTACAGTTGACTAGTTATTGGGTGTTTCCAAAGAAGGAGAAGGGACAGACAGAGAGAGAGTGTGTGTGTGCGTATGCATTGGTATGTATCTCTACATATGTTGTTAATTCATTCATTTTCTTTTCCACTATATCATCATGCTTTCAGTCAGTCATTACCAAAGGAAAGTGTCGTCCGAGAAGATGAGACAACCATGATATCACATCTTAGGAAGTGGTGTCGGGGATGCAGTGGGAAGGGGGATGTGTAGCGAGAAAGTGGTGCAATGGTGTATGGGTACGACAGTGCAGTGGTGTAGTGTATGGGCAGTGGTGTAGTGTATAGCAGTGTAGTGGATGGGTAGTGGTGTAGTGTATGGGGCAGTGGTATAGTGTATTGGGCAGTAGTGTAGTGGATGAGGCACTGCGGTGTAGTGGATGGGGCAGTGGTGTAGCAGGGCAGTGGTGTAGTGGATGGGCAGGTGGATGGGGCAGTGGTGTAGTGTATGGGCAGAGTGGATGGGGCAGTGGTGTAGTGGATGGGGCAGTGCAGTGGTGTAGTGGATGAGGCACTGGTGTAGTGTATTGGGCAGTAGTGTAGTGGATGAGGCACTGGTGTAGTGGATGGGGCACTGGTATAGTGGATGGGCAGTGGTGTAGTGGATGGGGCAGTGGTGTAGTGGATGGGGCACTGTGTGGATGGGGCAGTGGTGTGGTGGATGGGCAGTGGTGTAGTGGATGGGGCAGTGGTGTAGTGGATGGGGCAGTGGTGTGTGGATGGGCACTGGTATAGTGTATGGGGCACTGGTGCAGTGATTGGGGCACTCCTCCCCAACCCCTGCATCGCCCTCCTCCTCCTCTTCCCCAACCCCTGCATCGCCCTCCTCCTCCCCTTCCCTAACCCCTGCGTCGCCCTCCTCCTCCCCCTCCTCCCCAACCCCTGCGTCGCCCTCCTCCTCCTCCCCAACCCCTGCGTCGCCCTCCTTCTCCTCTCCTCTCTCTCCTCTTCCTCCTCCCCAACCCCTGCGTCGCCCTCCTCTTCCTCCCTCCCCAACCCTGCGTCGCCCTCCTCCTCCTCCCCAACCCCTGCGTCGCCCTCCTCCTCCTCCCCAACCCCTGCGTCGCCCTCCTCTTCCTCCTCCTCCCCAACCCCTGCGTCGCCAGCTCGCTGAGTAGGGCTGAAGGGCGTGACCCGCCTCGGCAATGACACGGTTTTCTTCCTTTTCTTCTTAATTCTGGGCATATTGTTTCCTCTCTGAACTCCACAGTGTTCCGACTGACGCGTCCGAAGATGGGGTCTGGAAAATGACGTCCTTTTGAGCAGGAATTATGAAATGAGATCACCGTCAATTTTGGAATAGCACTTATTTTACGGCTTCTAACGGGACGTCGGTTAGGGATCACTGCCTCACACACACACACACACACACACACACACACACACACACACACACACACACATAAAAGAAACAGACACGAGCATAACATTCAAACACAAATAAACGCTAACAAACATAGACAAAGAAACATCACGTCCAGACAGAGACAAAGAAACAGACAAAAACACACACAAACAAATTCAAACATACACAAATACTAGCGTAAATAAAAACATGAGATAAGAGCCTTTATCTTTTTATCAGTCGCCTCCTCGGGTAGACAGCAAGGACACATTACAACACTCACCTTTACTTCGAAGGAAAACTCCATTTATGACTATGTGTATTCCATCGAACACCAATATCCTTTTTGCACAATTTTCAAGAAAAGTCTGCAAAGGAGATGAGTGAGCGGCTGGACTTGGTCACGTGACAAACAGGACTCTCGTCCTCCCCAACCCCTGCGTAAATGAGGGAGTGAATGAGTGGATGAGAGACATATAGAGAGAAAATGAGGGAGAGACAGACATAAACAGAGAGACAGGAGTAAGATCGAGTAAGAGAGAGAGAAAAACTGAGTAAATAAAGGAAAGAGAAACAGTTGCTGAATGAGTGAAAGGCACAGAGAGTAATCATCTGAGTGAATGCGAGATAGTAGCTTAGGGAGTAAGGGACGGTGAGAAAGAGCAACTGAGACATGAAGAAAATTGATTTAGAGAGTGTAACTGAGAGAGAAAGAAAAGTTATTTGAGTGAGTGAGCCAGAGAGAGCAAGTGAATGAATGAGAGAGAGAAATAGAGAATAAGTTTATGAGTCACATGCCGTAGACAGTGATTAACTGCGTGCGAAAGAAATAGTAACTGAGTGAGAAACAGGCAAAGATGAGTGAGGGAGAGACCGAGAGAGGTAGAGTAACTGATTGCGTGAGAGACTGAGGGAGAGACGGAGAGAGATAGAGTGAGTGAGAGTAACTGAGTGAGTGTAAGTAATAGATCTAGAGAGAGAGAGACATCATACGTGAGAGAGGCAGAGAGAGAGAAAATAAATGAGAGTGAGAGTACCTGAGCGCATCTCGGAGTAAACTCAGTCATCGCCGTGTCTCCAGT